TTTGTTTTTACTTTTTTGTGGTGCTGGGGATTGAATCTTGTTTTTCTTTTTTTTTTTCACCTGGTTAAGGCTGGACATATTTGATGTTATAATAATTTATGCAAGTAACTAGAATTTCTAGAGTGATCATGTGTAATGATGACCTAGTGGATGGGTTTTATCTGTGTTCTTCAGAAAATAACAGTAAGTTACAAATTTGGTTTCCAAATAATTAAAAACCAGGGTGTAGCTCAGTGATAGAGCATTAGCCTCGCATTTAGGAGACCCTGGGTTCATCCCCAGCACTGCAGAAAAACAACAAACAAAACCAAATCCCAACTTCAAGCTTCTTAATCTACAGACATTTCCAAGAACCCCACCCACAGAAGCCTTTCCCTGATAGCTCACTGGCCAGGCAACTCCTAAATCAATCACAGACTTGTGCTAATCAGGATTGTGCTTCTGAGTCTGGGAGGCCCACCTCCTCAGAAAGTTCTTCTACCCACACCAACAGAAAAAAGGAGACCCCCGAGCCAGGAAGAGGAAAACTTGCTTTCAAGACAACACCTGATGTGTCTTCCCGGCTTTCACTCTACAGCCTCAATTTATTTACTTGCACTAGGAGGGAACTGCATCCTTATTTCCATCCACATTTCTTTAGCTCCAGTTTTTGTGCCTGGTACAGGGTTGAGTCCTGGGGATTGAACAATAGGAGCTCCTACTTCTTTGCTCAAACTCTTAAGAGAAAGACACCTAGCTGGTCAAAAAGGATATATGTTGGCTGAGAAAGGGATTTATTTTTTTGTTTGTTGACCCTTAAGAAGATAAGAAAAGAAGAAAAAAAAATATTACACTGAAATATGGTAAGTGTTGAATTATACTGACATAGGCAGAGAGTGATATGGGCTTTGTCAAGAAATAAAAATAAGGCCAGGTATAGTGGCACACCCCTCTAATCCCAGCAGCTTGGGAGGTTGAGGCAGGAGGATCACAAATTCAAAGTCAGTCTCAGCAATTTAGCAAGGCCCTAAGCAATTTAGCAAGACCCTGTCTCAAAAAATAAAAAGGGCCGGGGATGTGGCTCCGTGGTCAGTGCTCCTGGGTTCAATCCTTCATAACCACCCAACTAAAAAAAAAAAAAAAAAAAAGGCAAGGAAAATGGAGTCAGGAGGCATTGTTAAATCTGGTCATTGTTAAAGCTGAAGCTTTGAACTGAAGCAGACACACCCACTCCCAGATGCAAACTGACATTTGTACTAGGCCAAACCCCAGATTTCTGAAAAACATTGTTTATTAACTCTAGTGACCATCTGTATAATGGACCCCTGCCTGCAGACTACCCAGAAACTGAGACTGTATCCTGTCCATTCCTTATAAAACAGCTTAACTTTTGTCAGCACCAATCATAATTCCTGACTAGCAAGTGATGTAATTTCCAACCAACTTGAAAAAAGAGATGAGGATGTTGTTTGGTGGTAACACTACAAGTTATAAACAATATTTTATAAAACCTCAGAGCACTTATTCTGGGCAACTAGGATACATGCCTCCCCAAGTGGCCTCACTTTGGCTGGAATAAAATTCTTTGTTCCCACTTTTGGTGTGCTTCAACTTGAGTTTTAGGTTGACAGCTTATACCAGAGGGACACCCAACCCAACCGGGGTCTGAGGAACTCCAGTGGKATGAGAATATACCCAGAAAGACCCTTACACTGAGTACTTAGGCTGAGTATTGATCAATGTGGATACAACTACACAGTACCTTTGAGGAACAGTAGTTTGTGCAGTTTCACAGAAGCGTAGAGTATGAATGGGATGGCAGGAGATAAAGGCTGAGGCAGGCAGGTCATGAGGAACCCATTGCCATACTAAAGGGTTTAGATGTATTATGAATTGTAGGACATCTAGAAGGAATGTAGTACAAGAATGTCATGATCAGATCTGTTTTTTAAAAAATATTTACTTATTAGTGGTGCCAGGGATTGAACCTAGGGTTTCATACAGCTGGGCAAGTACTGTACCACTGAGGTATATGCCTAGCCTGCAATGAAATTTTATTTATTTATTTATTCACTTATTTATACTGGGGATTGAATGCAGGGGTACTTTGCCACTGAGTCACATCCCCAGCCCCTCTTTTATTTCCAACAAAAATTTTAAAAGGAGGGTTAAAGATGTAGCTTGGTAACCACACTTGTCTAGCATGAATGCCTGGGTTAAAGCTCCAGAACTGTCAAAAATTTTAAAAGGAGCCAGGAGCAGTTCAAACTATTTGGGATGCTAAGGCAGGAGGATCACTTCAGCCCTGGGCAACAAAATGAGACCCCATTTCTTTAAAGAAAGAAAGAAAAATTAAAAGGAAAAAAAGTTATTCTTTTGGGGGAGAGTACTAGGGATTGAACCCAGGGGAGCTTTAACACAAAGCTATATCCCTAGTCCTTCTCATATTTTATTTTATTTTTTTGGTACTAGGGATTGAACTGAGGGGTACTTGACCACTATACCACATCCCCAGCCATTTTTTTGTATTTATTTAGAGACAAAGTCTCACTGAGTTGCTTAGTTCCTCACTTTTTTTTTTTTTTTTTTTTGCTGAGGCTGGCTTCGAACTCACGATCCTTCCACCTTAGTCTCCCAAGCTGCTGGGATTACAGGCATGCATCACAGCGCCCAGCCACTTCATATTTTATTTTGAGATAGAGTCTTGCTAAAATTCTGAGGCTGGCCTGGAACTTGCAATCCTCCTTCAAGTCACTTATAGATATGCACCATGGCACCTGGCTTCTAAATTTTTCTTCTGTACTGTTGATGTTGGAATATCAATGATATTTTTTGTCTCTCTAGTAAGTTGTAAGCCCTTTGAGGRTAGTAAAGGCATATACTTTGTCTTTGTGTTCCCAGTATGTTTCAGTGCCAACAATTCATAAACACTTAATATAAAATTGATGGATTAATGAGTGAAGGATGGAGAGAAGTGGATTGGATTTTCTCCTTCCTTATGTTCTTCCAAACATTATTTATTCCATGCCCCTCCTGGAGCTCATAGCTCAAAGTTACCCTCTTACCTACCTCCCGTGAGCAAACTTGTGAGATGCCATCTGGCTTTCTCTTTACCACATTCAGGGTGTAATTGATCCAGGGCACCAGCTTGACAAGGGTAAGGGAAAGGACATGGGTGGAAGACGTTCTGTTCCCTGTGCCAGTACTTCTGCCCTGCCTGGGTCTGAGCCACTTGGCTCAAGCCTTCCTCACCATGTCAGTGAATCAAGCTGGAGAGAATATGTCCTTGGAGGTACCACAGTGCTAAAGCTTCTACTTGCATCTCTGGTGTTAAGTTGCTTCTCAAAGGACTCAGTTTGATGATGTGGAAATTTGAAAATTGTGTATTTAAATATTGACAAGTGGCCAATAGTGATGTTTAGCAAATTTACAGTAGAAAGTGAGAAGGAGCCTAGGTGGAATACCACCTAATTCACTGACRCAATCACAAATGATTACCAAGAGATTCCTAATGATTCAGTGATGAACAAAAGAATCATCTACCTTAATGGAGCTTACAGGAGGGGGAAACAGCAACAGAATAAAATTCAATTGTTTCATAGCACTTATAATGTGCTAGGCACTTTACATATATTAATTCATTTCATTATTTTAGCTCAGTGTAGTCCTCTTATTATTACCATTTACAAATGAGTGATAGGATGTATTTTATAGTTATAAACTGATAAGGAGGCATGCAGGGAATATAGGGGTTAGGGAGGAAGCACAGCTGGAAAACCTATAGTCCTAACGGGCAGGATGATTCTTTGAATATGAGAGGTGGAAATGCAGATCTAAGGGGTGAGACTAGTAGACAAAAATGTCTGAAGGAAAATAACTGCAGGCAATGGAAACAGCAGATGAAAGATGTTCAAGGAACTGAAAGGAGGAAGAGCCTGGGATGAGGCAGGAGAGGTAGGCAGGGGCTAGATCCCTTAGGTTTATTTCTCTGTCTTCAAATAGTATGAGGTCAGGGAAGCAGAGAGAGTTGAGATCTCTTTATTTGAAAGCAAAAACAAGCAAGCAAAAACCAAGAGGATGGACCAGAGCACTGTAGTATCCCAATGGTTGTAACTCTCCAATTCTAGGTCTGCTGGAAGGAACTGCCCTCTGTAGATTAAGTACAAATGACAAAGAATATTACACACAATGAATATTGCTGTGAGCATAATTTGTTCCCCTCACTTGAAAGGAAGTGTGAATTGCTGAAATAAGCGAAACAAAGGTAATAATTGTCAAAGGACAAAACCATAACAATTTGATGATTTATTTTTAATTCCAGAATTGGGCAACACTTCATTCCATAAAGTAGAATAGTGTTCCAATAGGCAGGGCAAAGGAAGTTGGTTCTATAGAGGAGGGCTTGAAGAAAGTAGAAACAAAAACTAAAGTAARTAGCTCCTTTCAGTTATTTTTCTTATAAGAGGAGGACAGAGAGAAAAACTACAATAATGACTAATAAATCAACATGAGGTTACTTATTTGGCATAAGGGTTAAGGCAGAGGGAACTTCATTACTGCCAATTAAAACTGGCTTGTTGGGCTGGGGATGGAGCTCAGTGGCAGAACACTTCCTTTGCATGTGCCAGGTGTTGGGTTCAATCCCCAGTATTGCAAAATAAAACAACAACAACAACAACAAAGAAACATCCTGGGCCTATGACTGTTATCTCTAATCCAGATTCCTAGGAAGGACAGATAAACAGCTTAGCTCTAGCTTGGTGACCTGGAACTTTAACATGAATAACACAATTTTGATATTCAGCCTGGTCTATGCAGCAGGTTAATTTACAACAATGACCTCCTGTAATTTTTTTTTTTTTAAAGAGAGAGTGAGAGAGGAGAGAGAGAGAGAGAGAGAATTTTTTTTTAATATTTATTTTTTAGTTCTTGGCGGACACAACATCTTTGTTGGTATGTGGTGCTGAGGATCGAACCCAGGTCGCACGCATGCCAGGCGGTCGCACGCACGCCAGGCACGCCAGGCGAGCGCGCTACCGCTTGAGCCACATCCCCAGCCCCCTCCTGTAATTTTTATGTAACAGTTTTTGGAACATTTATTGTGCTTCAAGATTGAACCAGGCACTTTTAGATAAATCTCCCCACAAATGTCCCACATTACAAATACAAAAGCAAAGGCCTCGAATTACATAATTTTTATAAGATCCTCTCCATCCAAATTTGTCCTGCCTACTGAACATTCCCCCTTGAGTTTCCTGTTGTCAGGTATGTTGAGCAATGAGTCTCTCTGGGTTTGCTCAGTGGTTGAGTTGGAACTGGAACCCAGGGCTGACTCCAAAACTCATGGTGTTGATGACCCTTTAATGCTGCCTTACCTTCTTAAAACAAGAGACAACTCCTAATTCTATAAATAACATGACATTGTCTCTTCAGGTCCTTTCTGGGTGAGGAAAGCGCTTTTTATAGCTTGGGATTGCTTCTGTTTTCTTGGTCTCTTCCAGCACCAGTTAATCCTACCCAGTTTTGTCCTTCACTGTCCTTACACTGACTGTATTCCTAGTTTTCCTCCTTGCTAGACAACTTGTGAGACCACATGGTTTTGGTCTGTGTATGCCAGCAAAGAAATCTCACTCCTCCCCAAGTCTGCCTACCTTTCTATAAATAATCGTTCTCTTTCCTCAGGCCTTTGAGTAGTTTGGTCACCTAACGCAGGCGCGCGCGCGCGCGCACACACACACACACACACACACACACACACTCACGCGCGGCAGGGGGTTGGGTAGTGGCAACATAAGTGACCTTGCAAAGGTATCTAGCCCACTGGGGACAGAATTAGCAAACCTGAAACCTCTGCAAATATTTGGCTTCCTCCCACATTCCTCCTGAAGCTGCTGAATCCCTCGCGTCGACCTCACCCAGTACCCTTTTAGCTCGCTCGCCATACAAAGCCCAATCCGCCCATCTCTTCTTTACAAACCCAGAGAACTTCATTCCCCATGTTGAAACTCGGCGGTGGCGGTGGCGGGCAGGACTGGGCATGCTCAGTGACAGGGACAGGTCTGGGAGGCGAGGAAGCTACATTTGAAGTCGCGCGGCCCAGGGATCAGGGGGAGGTGGGTGGCTGGGGCCCCGGCTGGGGGTGCACGGAGACCCCAGATTCCGTGCCCAGGGACAGCATGCTCCAGGAAGGCGCTGCAGGGCGGGCGCGCGAGGGGGAGGGCGTGGAGGAGGTGGAGGAGTCAGCGGGAGGAGGGGAGGAGCGCTGGGCTCGCCATCCCCGGGCGCCGGCTCTGCGGCTGCTGAATCGGAAGCCGCCGGGAGGATCTGAGGAAATAAAGACGACCGAGAATGACCTCCAGGGAGGCAGCTTGAGCCGGGGCTCGCGCGCTGTCCCGCCAGCCCCGAGCATGGGCGACCGCGGCGGGCAGCCGGAGCGCTCAGCCTCGCACACCCCAGGGGCCCCCGCGGGCAYCAACGCAGCCCTCGTGAACGGGCTGCTGCACAACGGCTTCCACCCGCCTCCAGTCCAGCCGCCGCTCGTTTGCAGCCGGGGCCCCTCGGGCGGCGGCGACGCGGCGCCCCCACGCCTCCCGCTCCTGTCGGAGCTCCAGCCACAGCAGCTGCTGGCTCAGCATGACTCTCCGGCCAAGAAATGCCGGCTTCGGAGGAGGATGGACTCCGGGAGGAAGAACAGGCCGCGTAAGTCCCTCCCGGAGGGGAGCATCAGCGCGAAGTAGGCGCA